TTATATAGGGGACTACTAGAGGGTTATTAAGGGGGATACTAGGAGTTTAGACAATGGCTCATATGGGATTTTCCAGAAAGAGGTTTAGGGTTTAAGGGTTGACCCCAAGGGGGAAAAACCCTATCAAGGGTGCAAAGGGAAACTGCCTGATAGCCCTCATATATCAAGGTATTGCCCATTGTAAAATACCATGGTTTCTTCCCAAAGCCTCTGGGGTTAATTGGCTTTAGGTGTTGGGGTTCCCAAAGCCTCTGGGGTTTATTGGCTTCAGGTTCAAGGTTCGCACTCAAATGCTATTATCCCCGCAACAGGCTTCCTTTCCCGATTTTGGGTCGGATTGTATTAGGTTGTTTACAAGACAACACACAGACGAACCCCTTTGTATTGATAGGTCGCTCGCTTGTGACGTGCGCGAAGTAGGATCCGCAGCAGACGTAGATTTAGATCAACTTTAGCCATTGTAGACCGACTTCAGCTGTCGAGAGCTTAGGGGCAAATTGCTGTAGACGGACGTGAGTCATGAGGTTTATGCGTAGGCGTAGCCATAAGCCATCTATACTATGTGGGAGACGTGTAGTCACACCTTGAGTAGTGATACTAGCAGCACATAACAGCAGATTGCTATGGATTTCCTATCTCACCCCCGCACTACGCCCCTTTGGGCTCTACGTAGATTCGGCTTGTTTAAAGTTTATGTCAGATTAAGGAGGTAATTGAAGCACCCATGAGTTTCAGAACCGCCCAGTATTGAGAGGTCGGAAGCCTCTTCAACCACTTACCTAACTTCGAATTAGCGGTGCTTACAACTCATGTAGAAGTCCGAACAACTAGAACATTATTCCGCGGAAACCTTTATTGTGGTGGAATATACCCCCTACCCTTCTGATCCTGTAGGCCTCCAGCCATATTGCATGACCTGCCTGGTGCTCCTAAGGACAGCAACAACCCAACTTCTTTGCGCAGCTTATCCCAGATGAGGCTTGGGGATTAGGGCTTTTCACAACTTTAGAAGCCTGACCAGTTAGTGATCTTGTCCTTTCAGTCCATCTTGAAGTTTAACATAATGGACCCTAGAGTACTGGATGCGCGCCGTTGCATCACGGGTTCAGGTTTTGGGATGTAGGAATTCCAGGTTAGCCTGGGGTCACCCTAAACCCTAAACGCTAAATACCTAAATCCCTAAATCCTAAATACCTAAACCCTGAATCCCTAAACCCTAAACACCTAAACCTAGGGTTCAGCATCTACGACTCAGGGCTTAGGCATCAGAATCAGAGGCCGCTTGGGATTCACGATTTTGGGATATTTCGGGTATTCATTTAGGAGACCCCAGCCTCAGGTTTAGGGTTTAGGGTTTAAGGTTTAGGGTGTAGGGTTTAGGGTTTCTGGGGTGTTGAGTAGGCCTTTTACCACTTTGTGGGGTCCTAAAATCTTTCTAGAAATAATAAGCTGTCTTCAAAAAGGGAGATCTTTTGGTCCTGGGATCCTAGTTTCAGGGTGTTTGGGGTGCAACCCTTTCCTTCGCGGAACTTCCTCAGATTCCTGTGGCCATCCACATTTGAGCTGTAGCCTTTTGAAGTTCAGTTTTTAAGTTTACCCTAAACCTGAAACCATACTTGAAGCAGAAGCTCGTTGCAGGTGGGTAGCTCAGAGGTGGGTAGTCTCCCCCACAAAAACCTGCGAGTAAGGTAGCTGGTAACATTAAAAGTGTGACAGATAAGTGAGAACTGAATTTAGAATGGGAAAGGATACTAACAAAAACAAGTGGCAAGGAAAACCCTAAACCCTAAACCCTAAACAACAGAAGTGCGCGGAGCTTATTCGTGGTTTATCTTTTTCTGGATCACCTGGGAGTTTCGTGTCGTGCTCCTCCAAAACACCAGCGCCCTCTCCGAACAGGTGTTAGGGTTTAG